TATCCGATGTTGCGAGCTTCTGCATTCAAGATCCACTTGGATTCTCAATAATTGGATGGAAAACCCTACTTCTAGTCTTAGATCACTGCCAGAAAGACCATCCAAAACCTTTCAAATGATCGAGGAGCCTCATAATAAAAGTAGATCTAGACACTTATTGCTTTCATTCCGCCATCGAGGTTTTTGAGTAGCAATTTTATCACGGGCTTAACGTTTATGATGCAGAAGAAAAGTAAAATAATCACTGATGCCGAGGTTCTGTAAAGGAAGAAGTAAGAGATTGCTAAACGAAGTAATTCTGAGAAATATTCAATAAATTCTCCTGTGACGTCTGTTACCATTCCCGTACTTAGACGAGTATGTATTACTAACCACGAGACTAAAGTATTTAACTTCGCTTTGTTCCATGGAGGGCGAGATCACTGTTAGGTCGGCAACTCATTTACTCGACTAATGCGATTTTGGGAAAAAGTGAGGCGAAACTTTGCAAAAACGATGAAAAAAGTCATAATGAGCTACTTATTCCAAGTTATTCAAGGTAAAGTAGAACCCTTGTCATACCTTCCTTTTTAGAGGTCTCATTCGACTGATATTTCGCCAGTGAACTGGAGGAGCATTTTATTATCTAAGCCGATGTGAAACCATTCCTGCATGCTTTTAAATACAAAACATAGAACTATACTCAAATTACTCGCTGTATTTAAAGTGGGCATAGTGAACTAGGAATAATGGCGACCGTTTCAAAGCATTACTCGGGATCTTCTGCAGCTCAAGGGCTGTTTCGCCCATAACTGAAGCAAGTACACTTGTGACATTTAAATGTCAACGCCTCTTTTCTCTTTTTTACTTTGAAGTAGCCAAAAAACACTGGCGACCTGATTAAGCCAAAAATGGGAAACATTCGCTGTTATCGGAAACTAGCCACTTAACAATGAATGCTCGTGATCCAGAATTCCCAAAAAAGCAGTACAAGGTGCACAATCACCATCAGAGCCGGTCTTTTAGTTTGTTGAGCTCCTGATTCTTCTCTTTTTCCAACATAGATAGCTTGAGAAATATCGAAATCTCACTTCGAATGGAACTCTTCTAAGCCTCAGGCTTTCACTTTGAGTGCACATTTTCAATTGCAGAAGGGCTCATGTAAGCCAAAATACTAAACAATGCTCGATGTTTGCCGACCTTTCCATGTACGCCTCAAATTTTACTAGCGACTACAAAAATTGCCTAAAAATCAGTAAAGGATTCTCCCCTACAGATTGCTCTGACATTAGCCTATCTGCACGAATTCAGCATTCTACATGTTATTACTTTTTCTGAACGTCCTGCTGGTTTACAGTCCTTAGATAGCTCGAGAATTAGCGTTGTTCATACGCAATTACATAAAGTTACTGGAGCACTGATTGTACGCTCTTAAAAGTAGAGAGAAACTTTATGGCTGCATCGTCTGAATAGTCATTCAAAAGGCTGAATCC